TGTGATCCTGTGTGAGGTAGATATGCAACTATGTAAACATACAACCTTAGTTGCATATGCTAACTAAATATTTATTATTTTATAAAAATATTATTAATTTTTATATTTTACACAGCAAATTTCTCTCACATGTATACAATTTATTTGCATATTCTCCAGAAATCTGAGGGTAGATTAAACAATTAATGTTATCTTGAGAAATGGCTCTCCTGATTTTTCAACGTCACATTCTGGTGGAGATGTGCTGGGCAGATTGGAGGAGACAAACTGAAGATGGCCGATCAGACCTTGGGCTACATTTAGCCGCGACAAGGATTCCACTAAAGGTTCAAGACTTCCCTCCAGACGTCCCAATAGACCCTACGATGACAAAGCCACTCTTCACGCCGCAAGAAACAGGACGTAAAGCTACTCGGGACAAAGTTTCAAGCCTCGGTGGAATCCAGGACAGAAGCGTGTCAGATCCATGTCAGTAGCAACAAGATTTGTAATCCGTGGGTCACAGCTCTGATAGGAAAGAAGCTTTGTAACAAATTATATATTATTTTAATAAATAGACTTATAATATATTTTATACGCTGCAAATTTATCTCAGTACGCATCTCTATTCCTTTATGTAAATAAGTTTTAATTGTGTTTGGATCAAAGTGAATGGCCTTGAGGTTATCTTTCCAACGTGACAATAATGTCAAATAATGCTGCGAGTAAGTGTACTCATGTAAATGAATATTTACTATCACAGAATGTACACACCAATACTTGTGTAAATAGAGGCTATGTAAAAAAGTCGCCTACCTGAGTGGAGGCAGCTAACCTACTGCTATTTATAGAATCTCACATTGCAGCAAACGATATCGTCTGGTGAACAATTCCCCACCTCCATTTTACATATCTCTGTTGGTGTGCCGGCTATATAGCTAGCACAACTTGACGAACATCACTTAGTTATGTAAATAAAAAAACAATATTTCCCACACTTATCGATTCTTCCATTAAATGATTGAAGAGGACACTAGCAGACTGAAATGTTTGTACAATAAATTGGGGTTTATTCACTCACTGACAAAACTTAAGGAAGTCTTGCCGGTCTTTTTTTGGAGGCAGAGGCAATTTTGTTCCCACTTGGTTATCTCGTGTGTCTTCAATAAAGGTCACTGTAAATTCTTTCAGAGTTATTGTCCCGATATACATGCTGAAAGGTACAACTTCCCTTAAACGTCCAGCTAGGGCATTGAAGAATTAATTGATTCAAGATTAGCGAAAGAAGAGGGAGGTGTCGACTTCTATCTTCATACTGACCCTGGAAGATTTGGGAAATCAAGTGAGGAAATTCTGAACCGCAAGTCAGAGTAAAAGAATCAGCCGAGCAATCTTCCTTCGTGTCCATGGCAGGTTGGGAGGTGTTAGGAGTGTAGAGAAGAGTTCGCTGGAAACCGAATGGAAGCGATGTCTGTTGAGCTACTGTTTGGTCTTCAACATTTCAGCTTGAACGTCATTGGGAATATCTTAACAGCACTGTTAATGATTGAAGAAAATGTTGGCAAATTCCTGTTCTTCTTTGGTTTTGTATTCTACTGCTGCGGGATTCAATGGTCTGGAAGGACCTAGCTACACCAACAGACAGACAATGGTCTGGAAGGACCTAGCTACACCAACAGACAGACAATGGTCTGGAAGGACCTAGCTACACCAACAGACAGACAATGGTCTGGAAGGACCTAGCTACACCAACAGACAGACAATGGCTGGAAGGACCTAGCTACACCAACAGACAGACAATGGCTGGAAGGTCCTAGCTACACCAACAGACAGACAATGGTCTGGAAGGACCTAGCTACACCAACAGACAGACAATGGTCTGGAAGGACCTAGCTACACCAACAGACAGACAATGGTCTGGAAGGACCTAGCTACACCAACAGACAGACAAGTACAGACATTATGAAAGAACCATTTTATTCAATTTTTACATCCGGGAGTTTACTCCTTCTTCTTCTTCAAGTCATCGTAGGCCTCGCGGAAGGCGACCTTGAAGTCATCCCAGGTCTTGCCCAGCTCCTTCTTGTGTTCTTCCAGGAAGTCGTGGCATTCTTTCAGGACGTCTTCCTTCAGGTCCTTGATGTGGTCGATGGCCTGTTGGGACACATCACTTTCGGTCAGTGCATCTGGAGCATCTCTCGGTTTGACGTGGTCCCTTCCGGTCATCTGGGCTATCTCATCTCTCGGTCTGACTTTTGACGTGGTCACTTCCGGTCATCTGGTCTATCTCATCGCTCTGTCAGACTTTTGACGTGGTCACTTCCGGTCATCTGGTCTATCTCATCGCTCTGTCAGACTTTTGACGTGGTCACTTCCGGTCATCTGATCTATCTTATCGCTCTGTCAGACTTTTGACGTGGTCACTTCCGGTCATCTGGTCTATCTCATCGCTGTCAGACTTTTGACGTGGTCACTTCCGGTCATCTGGTCTATCTCATCGCTCTGTCAGACTTTTGACGTGGTCACTTCCGGTCATCTGGTCTATCTCATCGCTCTGTCAGACTTTTGACGTGGTCACTTCCGGTCATCTGGGCTACTTAACATCTCATCGCTGTCAGACTTTTGACGTGGTCACTTCCGGTCATCTGGGCTACTTAGCATCTCATCGCTGTCAGACTTTTGACGTGGTCACTTCCGGTCATCTGGTCTATCTAATCCATGTCAGACTTTTGACGTGGTCACTTCCGGTCATCTGGGCTACTTAGCATCTCATCGCTGTCAGACTTCTGACGTGTCACTTCCGGTCATCTGGGCTACTTAGCATCTCATCGCTGTCAGACTTTTGACGTGGTCACTTCCGGTCATCTGGTCTATCTCATCGCTGTCAGACTTTTGACGTGGTTACTTCCGGTCATCTGGGCTACTTAGCATCTCATCTCTAGGTCAGACTTTTGACGTGCTCACTTCCGGTCATCTGGGCTAATAACGATCCCAATGATGGGCAGATCATTCAGTTTGACTTTAGACGTCGTTATTTCCGGTCAGTTTCTTAATTGGTGCTTCTAGTCTTACGGTCAATTTCCTTAAATGGTCATTTCCGGTCAATCTCCTATTGATTCTCAACCGTATTTCCGGTCATTTTTCAATTTGACCTAGGATAAAACCGGTCAGGTTCTTAAATGGTGTTCGCATCAACTCTATGGAATATTGGACTCCACGTCAATTCCTGTCAGTTCCTCTTATGTCCAGCTAGGTTCGTAATCTGTCACCATGTCTTTTCTTTCTCAGCGTCTAGACTGGATATTCTGTTTCTACCCATATAGAGAGATATATGCAAATTGCGGCTTTGCCCTCAACAGGCCGGTACAACACTATGCTCCTGTCTGGGCCAACAAATGTGTCCTTCTTCGTGTCAAGTTAGCGCCACCTGACTCACCTTCTTGGCGATGTTCTTGAGGTTCTCCACCTTGTCCTCGACATGTTTCTTGATCGGGTGGTTCTTCAGCCACTCGCCGAACTTGGCGTACTTCTCCTTGATCTTGATGTGGAGGTCCTTGAAGTATTCCTTGATCTTCTCCCAGACGTCCTTGAGGCTCCTGCGCTCCTCGTGCTTCAGGGACTCCCTGAATGCCTCCTTGGCTTTCTCCCACAGGGAGCCCAGCTCGTGCCTGTACTCCTTCAGGAACTCGAGCCCCTCCTCGCGGACCTCGCGGCCGAGGAACTTGATGCGGTCGATGTACTGCACGATCTGTGGGTCAGTACACTCTCTCTCTCTTTAAATCAACAAATGGGGAAGACCACAGCTACAGCGATGAACCAGGTTTTTACAGTAGTTGTGGTTGTTTTTTATCTTTCGGAATATCTAGACGTGTAATGTCTAGAATCTCTTACAGGAAAGAACTTATGTGGAATAGCTGCGACTTATTCAAGTCACAGAGGATTGACGTCAAGGATCTGAGAATGTAACAGTTGGGAAACTCGGCATTACTCAGATATCCCTGTAGAATCAAAATTAGGAGCTTCCCTACATTAGAGAAATGCCCAGGGGTCGTTGTGGCATGTGCTGCCGATATCCAACTTCCTGGGATCGAGTCCCGTATGGGACACTATATTTTGCAGAAATAAAATCCCCCGATGCGCGCCTCCAAGTATTTCTAGCCCTACCAGGAGTGAAGTGGGTAAACATTCTGGTATCTATGGATGCGTAGCCGAACTGCTATCTCCATGTTCAGTAGACATGTGCTCGCAGCCATGGCAGTCCCGGGGTACCAACAGGACTCACCTCTGCAGCGACCAGCTTCAGGTCGTCAATGTCCGAAATGAACTTGTCCCTCCTGGAGTTGAAGTGCTGCTTGACCCACTCGGAGAAGTTGTGGTATCTGTCCTGGAAGTAGTCCTTGATTCTGTGCCACAGGTCCGTCACGGACTCCTGCTCCTCCTCCACGTCGTCGTGGGAGTCCTTCCAGGCTTGCTTCACGTCCTCCCACAGCTTGCCCAGCTGTTCCTTGTAGCCGCGCAGGAACTCCAGGCCCTGCTCGCGGACTTGCTTGTTCAGGAACCGCGCGTTGTCCACGAACTGCACACGTCGCGTTAGTGGGGTCAATGGTCGAGAACGGCCTTGTGTATCAAGGAAAAGGAAGATGACCTTGTGCCTCAAGGAAAAGGAAGATGAACTTATGCCTCAATAAAAGTAAGCATAATTTTGTAAGTGTCTAGAGAAAAAGAAGGATGACCTTGTGGGTCAATATTATCAAGGGTGTCTCCAGAAGTACTCACATCCTGAGCGATGATCCTGAGTTTCTCCAGATGGCCGCTGACGTTGTCCAGCTTGGTGTGTTCCTTCACCCACTGGCCGAACTTGTGGTAGGTGTCCTTGATCTTGAGGCCGAGGTTCCTGAAGTACTCCTTGATCCTCTCCAGGTAGCCGGGGTGTGTGACGGCGGCGTGGGCCTGGTGGTCCAGGGCCTCCTTGAAGGCCTGCTTAGCTTCCTCCCACAGGCTGCCCAGCTCCTCCTTGTAGTTCCTCAGGAACTCCAGCCCCTCCTCCTGGATCTCCTTCCGCAGGAAGCGCACGTGCTTCTTGTACTGCACATCACGGCGTCGACTGAGGACGCTGAAATGTTGCCGACAAATTCCATTTGACCGATGCGTCAATCCCTGACCTCAATTTAAGGATTGCCTTTCTCAGTTTGTTTTTTTGTCTTTCTAATTATCTCGTTTAAATTGTGAAGTTTTTTACAACCACCATTAGTGGCGTCACACATGCGCGATGTACCTCTCTTATTTACATATGGGATTGAAATTAATATATAGCACTTCAATCTAAAGTCCAATGTGCTTATATATAAATATGCATTTATGTTGAAGCCTAAACATTGATACACACATTAACAGACAACCCAATGTGGGATGTTTTTATTGCGACACCTTTTTCGGTGACCCGCTGTCATCTATTCTCAATGTTAAACGAATAAAGTTCGTTTTCTACATTGAGAATGGTGACGACAGTGGCTACCGAAATCTTGGTCAGTAAAACGTACCTCATAGAGTTAATATAAATCAATAGGCTAAATTAACCCCCCAATATATATACCGCGGTTTGTTCCATCTAGTTTACTATGTTTTACTTTTAGGAATAGCAAAATAATGAAAATAAAATTATAGAAATTACACGAATGCAGAAATAGTCAAATCCACGCGTGTCCATTTCAATTTCTATATCCAATGGTTGGTCAATTAGCCGTGACAATATTATCGAGGAACAAAATCTTGAGTTTCTTGTAAGGTTTAGCCGAGCTTTCGAGTATTTCTGTTCTTCTACAGGAGTAAAGATTTCTCATTTTCACTCCTGTATAAAGGCAGAAATACTCGAAAGCTCGGCAAAATAAAACCTTACAAGAAACTTTACCTTAAGATTTTGTTCCTCGATAATATTGTCACGGCAGAGAAGACGGGTCTTCCAAAAGTTGTCCATTGATTTGCATATGTGGACTCACCTCCTCAGCGATGGTCCGCAGGTGTTCCAGGTGGGACTTGGCCTTGTCCAGCGAGGATCCCGTGTGTTTCTTCACCCACTCCCCGAACCTGCCCAGTCCCTCCCTGATGTGGAGTCCGAGGTCCTTGAAGTAGTCCTTCACCTTCTGCCAGGAGTCCCTGAAGGACTTTCTCTCCTTGTGCTCCAGGTCATCCAAGATCCTCTTGAACCACTCCCTGACGCGGCCGGTGAGTTTGTTGACGTGGGCCTTGAGGGCGTCGTTGAACCCCATCTGGTGGAGCTTGGTGACGACATCCTTTACCTGTGGACATACCTCATGTCGCGGCAAGTTCGGAGATTTGCTGGTTTTTTAACTTAAATTACAACTTACATGCACTCGTGGACAAAACTTGAGGAAGTTGTACCTTTTAGAGCATGTATATATCGGGACAATAACTCTGAAAGATATTACAGTGACCTTTATTGAAGACACACGAGATAACCAAGTGTGAACAGCTTCTGTCTCCTTAATAAAAAAAAAAAAAACAGACGACAGGAGAAACCAAAGACTTTCCACTTCCTTAAGTTTTGCCCATGCGAGTATTTTTAGTATATTATAAATATGTTTTATTATTACATATATATAATATTTATTATTTTCCCATTCTTGAAAGGACACTATGCAGTTAATGTCACAAAATGCAACACCATATTTAAACAACGAACCTGTCGGGATTCGAACCAACAATCTTCTGATCCTTTCAATCAGATAAACATTGCGTAACGCCAACTGCGTTCTAATTTGCATAGCTAAAATTGGATTTCTATAGAAAACTATATGTGCCAAGTATGCAAGAAGTAGACCAGAAGTCCAGATCCCGCGAGATACTTTCAAACGTACTATGTAAATAGAAATAACGAGGATATCCTCCCTCCTTCCACTAGAATGGGGCGAATGCCCTTTTGTAGATACCGTTTTTATACCTCTTTTTAATATTTATATTTGGTTTTTTCACTATAAGACTGCATAAATTATTTATTTTTAACTTAATTTATCGTCTGTTTATTTTTTACTATGGTATATATCTATTTTTCAAATGAAAGATTTGCTTATTTTAAAATGTTTTAAATATTCGCCCTTTAAAATATATATATGCAGATGTAGCACAGATATTGTATTAGTGAAATTAAACAGATGAAAATATCATAGAACATTCATAAACACACATTGATATATGCTGACACAAATAATTATTTTGTATTTGGGGGGGGGGGGGGGGGGGGGGATATTAAGAGTATAAAACTTATATAAAAAATTTAAAATAATATAAATACTTTTAAACATCGATGTAAATTGGTTAAACACGTAACAAATGGCAGAAATATATAAAACTATTTAAATTTTGCTATATTAAAAATTCTAAATACATTTTGTGATATATATATAAAATATAAGTATTTATTGACTGAAATATATTGCTAAAAAAAGATGTTTTCACAATGCCAATATTTTCTATCCAAAAGTCTGTTATTATATGGCCAGCTCAAAAATATCTTCTGGAAAGAAAGGAGCTTAGGTGGCCTTGTAAGATAAACCCATCATAAAGCCCCAATAAATTTTATAAAATATTTGGAGAGAGATAAAAGTTATTTCCGAAAAATAATAAGTAAAAACTTTGTTCAATTTATCCTTACTTTTTATATTTCGTAATGTTTTTGTTGCGTGTAGTAGATGGCTATAATGCGTATTAGAAAAAGTTTTATTTTTATATAAACTCGGGCCTATTAAACGAACACATACAATTATTAATTTAAAATAAAAATATTTCATTTATCTTAATTTATTCCTTCATCTATTTATTGTGTGAATTAAATAACTAAACTAACGCGCCGAGAAAACACAAAATATATTTGGTCATTAAGCATTAAACGAAAATTTAAAAAAAAATCTGTGATTATATAAACGAATATGCATTTTCTAATTTAAGAGAAAAACACAGATATAATTAGGTATTTTTAGAAGAAAAAATGAATTCTCACAATAAATAAAATTTACTTTATATTAAATACGACAGCAATATATTTTTTAATATTTCAAAAATAGGAACTACTTCGACACAAACACCCCTAGAAGAAATATTGCATTTCGTGTTAAATTTAAAACGCGCGTACAATCATAAATATAACGATTTAACGATTAATGTCGCTATAAATATAACGAATTTATGAAAGTGATTTTTAGTGAAAATTATTTATGAAAATATTTTTTTATATCTGTGTTTGAATTCTTACGTAATTTGTTGGAGTAATTTTTATACTTTTATTTGAATATTAATATATATTTACTAAGTCAATTAATGAGGACGTTGTTTTTAATAAATTAATACTTTAAATATATATAAATATTTTAAAATGATTTATCTAAAATATATTATATATGCACACACAACATTATATATAATAGATTTTTGATCAAATATTTTTAAAAGTATTTATTTTGTAAAATTTTGTCAAAAACAATAAGTATGTGTATTTATAATTTAGTTTAAAGATAATAGATTTTCAGTTATATGTGTGTTTGAGACGAATATACTATAATAAACTGACTTGGCATAAAACAATCAGAGACTGCTACACATTATGTGAAAAATTTTACCATGTCCCTCAAGTGTTCATCCTTTCCAACCTTCTCCTCGAGCTGTTCCAGCAGTTGATCCAAGATTTCCTTGAGATATTTGCCAAGCCCTGTTTGGATTTCACTGGATCAAAACAAACCAATATAGTGTGAGCTGTATATCTACTTTTAAATAATTCAATAAATTATATAGTACTTATAATTTTGAGTATTTATATATAACCGTGTTTATTATTGATAATTTTATTTTGAAAGTTTTTTTGATACTACTCTCATTCAAAGCAGGCATAAAAGTGCAATTAGCCAATTATTCCAAATAATGTTATGATTATGATTTTATAGTTATGTTGCGCACATTTAGTTTCGTTAAAAACTTTATTTTTAAAATAAAGATATATTAATCAATTTCATCTTTAGAGTTATACTAGGATATTAAAAATCACATGTAATAACGTGTAATTATAATAAAATAGTGTTTTAAAATCCTTTTTAGCATAAATCACAGAATAATTTACCTCTCTAGGATTGCAGAGTCCTCAGAGTCCGGCCACACTGCGGATAACCAGATGTAAACAAAATAATGCAAGGGTGATTCGGCTGCTAACTTACCAGGGTAGGCGGCTGCAGCACCGATCAGGAGGAAGAACCACAGGAGCTTCATGGTCCTGGAGTCAACACGACGTGGTCAGATCACAGAAGAGAGAGATATTGGATAAATTATATTCCAAATATTATATAATTATTCCTATTCTGTCAGTCAGGAATATCTTTTCAATTCCCCAACTGGAAGATTGGAACATTATGATTGATCAATCATATTTTTTAGCCGCTGCCCTTGTGATATATGTCGCGAAAATAAAGAATATATGTAAAACAGAATTTTTATCCTTATCCAAACCCTTATAGCTCGAAAAGTTAAGAATTTAGGAAAATTCATAGATAAATTGAATGTTTTTTCTTTGACCAGAATAAAACATTTATATTTACCCACAGCTTATAGTATTCTACTCAAATGTAACAAAACAAAAAACACACCGAGTTGAATAAAATACTAATCTCCTCTATTTTTATTTCTCCAGTTTTTAGGGTAATTGCAATATCTTTGTACCTTCTTATTATCAGAAAATCATTATTGTCTTTATAATGTCTGATACATCTTTTGTTGTTTATTTGCAAACCGCCAAAGTGACAAAAACAAATAGCTATATATCAGTAATCACACTTATTTTGGTTTTAAAATAAATTTCTTTTGTTAAAAAAAAGAGAGAAGTATTAAAGATCCTTGATAGGTCGTCGTGGCCTGTACGCTGATGAGTACCAACAGCCCGAATAAAAACAGAAGACTCTAAGAAAAGGCTTTTATTAAAAATGTGAAAATATTTTTAGCTATCAAGATTAGGCAATTAGTACCAACAGCCCGAATAAAAACAGAAGACTCTAAGAAAAGGCTTTTATTAAAAATGTGAAAATATTTTTAGCTATCAAGATTAGGCAATTAGTAC